TCAATAAATACAAGAGACCCAGTTCCATTGGCAGCCATACATGCCCACGCCATGACACTACCACCACCATGCTTCACTGATGAGGTGGTATGCTTAGGATCATGAGCAGTTTCTTTCCTTCTCCATACTCTTCTCTTCCCATCACTCTGGTACAAGTTGATCTTGGTCTCATCTGTTCATAGGATATTGTTCCAGAACTGTGATGGCTTTCTTAGATGTTGTTTGGCAAACTCTAATCTGGCCTTCCTGTTTTTGCGGCTCTCCAATGGTTTACATCTTGTGGTGAACCCTCTGTATTCACTCTGGTGAAGTCTTCTCTTGATTGTTGACTTTGACACACATACACCTACCTCCTGGAGAGTGTTCTTGATCTGGCCAACTGTTGTGAAGGGTGTTTTCTTCACCAGGGAAAGAATTCTTCCGTCATCCACCACAGTTGTTTTCCATGGTCTTCCGGGTCTTTTGGTGTTGCTGAGCTCACGGGTGCGTTCCTTCTTTTTAAGAGAATGTTCCAAGCAGTTGTTTTGGCCACGCCTAATGTTTTTGCTATCTCTCTGATGGGTTTGTTTTGTTTTTTCAGCCTAATGATGGCTTGCTTCACTGATAGTGACAGCTCTTTGGATCTCATCTTGAGAGTTGACAGCAACAGATTCCAAATGCAAATAGCACACTTGAAATGAACTCTGGACCTTTGATCTGCTCATTGTAATTGGGATAATGAGGGAATAACACACACCTGGCCATGGAACAGCTGAGAAGCCAATTGTCCCATTACTTTTGGTCCCTTAACAAGTGGGAGGCACATATGCAAACTGTTGTAATTCCTACACCATTCACCTGATTTGGATGTAAATACCCTCAAATTAAAGGTGACAGTCTGCAGTTAAAGCACATCTTGTTCGTTTCATTTCAAATCCATTGTGGTGGTGTATAGAGCCAAAAATGTTAGAATTGTGTCGATGTCCCAATATTTATGGACTTGACTGTATATACTGTATGACAGCTTCCTGTTGTCATTGGTTTCTAAGGAAGCCACCAGTGCTTGCGTGCAATGCTTGCAATGATGTCACCACCATTCCTGCCCCTTTCTTTTATATAGCTGATAACAGCTCAGGGAGCTTTAATCTTGCTATGAGTACCATTGGGATCGGTCATGTGCTCTGGGTCATCTGTTGTTTTTTATTTTTGAATGACAATGAATTTACAATGAGGGACTTTTTGGGGATTTTTATTTTTTTTAATAAAGGACTTTTTAAACATTGAAGTGTCTTTATTTTAGGTTACACTTTTTTCACATGGTGGGTTGTATCTAAGGCCCCCCTTATAATTAAAGGTGTCTTTCAGATTCTGATAAGCACCTCACCCATAGATCCGTTCAGCATTTAAAAAAATCACTGACCAACTGGAATTGTTTTTATTGTTTTATTCATTTATTTATTTATTTATTTATTAGTACATGTTTCCTAGGACAGGGCACTGCATGCACCTCAAGCAAATGCCTCTCCACCAGAGTATCAGTCTTTTACAGTGGTGGACAGATGCATATTTAATAAAGAAACATTTTTAATGGCCCGTGGCCAAGCAGAAAGCTGCCATAAGATTGTTGTCTTGCTATCACACATGCACATGGCCATTATTCCATCTTGCCTTCTGTTATCTCTATGTTGGAATCTGGTCTGTTAGTCACATCAGATTGAAAAGTGTTTGCTAATTACATAGTAATCAATGATCTTGAAAAGCAAACAATCTGCTCAGGGCTGCTGTTAGAAATTACGGGGCCCCATACCTGACAGGGCCCCCTCCCAAAATATTAAAACTATATTTTTTTTGCAAAAAATATATTAAAATCATTAAATTAGCAGATACAAACAAAAAATAACTTGCAACATTCCTGCTAAACCTAAAATATAAAACTGTATTGAGCTAAATAAACGTACACGTGTAATTGAGGTCTTGGGACTTATTCACATGATCCATGTGGCCTGTACAGTGTGAATCATTTTTTTTGGGGCTAGAGCTGTGTGTAGGCAGTTTATGTTATGCTATGGGGGTGCAGCAGCTGTGCAAACACAGCTGCAGGGACTAATTTGACAGGCGTGGATGCAGGTGCACAGCCCTGAACACAGAGAGTGAGCATTTGGGGCAATTCACTCACACCTGCACACGTATCAAATTAGGACTTGTGGCTGTGTTTGTACAGCTGCTATGTCCTGATAGAGCAACATCTGGCTCCAGCCACACAAACAAACCATTCATTCACACTGTACAGCCAGAGAACCATAAATTGTTTTTTAAAAAACATGAAAACATTTTTTTTACAATGTTTTCATTATTTTTTATTTATGTCTTTTTTTTTACTATGCTATTGGAGGGTACTTTGGTGAAATATCAGGGGTTGAAACAGACCACTGATGTCTCACTTTTGAGACAAAGAAAGGGACTGAGGAGATCTCTCAGTGAATGAACAGAAAGCACTCTGTAAAGAGGCTCCTGTTCATTTACAAACTGAAACATAGTAAACACAATTTACTATGCTTCAGTTATTAATGAACACATTAAGTGATTGGTACCGATCACTCACTGTGTCTATTAAGGAAATAAAGGGGCTGGTAATTAAACATATTTATTGTCCCCTTCCCCCGCTCTATATCCTGAAATTAAGGGAATGGCTCCACAACAAATCCATCTACCTTATAGATGCAAGCAGGGGCGGACTAACCATTTGGAAACTCGGGCACTGCCCCGAGGGCCCAGGGTCAGTAGGGGGTCCCATGAGATGCCCCTGTTACCTTTTTCATAGGCTTTTTTTGAGTTTGGGCAAGGACACAGGGGCCCCATGATCCCCTATTGCCCAGGGGCCCCATGAGTTGTCAGTCCACCCCTGGATGCAAGGTTATATACTGAAAGGTCCAGGAACTGCACAGTAAGAATTTCCAAAAATGTCCAAAAGTAAGAATTTCCAAAAGTAATTTGGATAGTTGTCTCTTCTGTTCACTAATTTGTGAACAAAATCATACAGAATTTGTTTAAATATTCTGATAGCTAATTGTTGCTAGTCTGACAACCCATGTCTGATTTGGTGACACTTCACTTTACTTTGCGTTTAACAAACAATTAGTGGTCATGTCAATATGCAAGTTAATTACTGAGCCTGAATTAGTGCAAATAAGTCTTTAGTACACGATCAGGTTTAAAACGCCCAGCTGAAGGAAGACACTAAATGTATTTGTAGTCTAGACTTCTTTGAAGAGGTCACATACACCACACAGGTCATACATCAGTGCCAGCTACCCTGAAGCCTAATATTGCCAAGTGTTTGCATAGCCTCCACTTTTTTAACATTATTTGAGCTTTTCAAGTATCATATTCTCTTTGGACTGTGAACCTCCACTTATCATTCAAAAACATGGATTTGAAGAGAGCAGTGGTTATTGCATAGTTAAAAATGTATCTTTATTTTGTTACAATTGTACTATAGCCTCATATGTCTAATATTCCAGTCCCTAAATGCTTCTTTCTGCCCAATGTCTAGTACAAAATGTCTGTACAATAAATTGGCATTTTCATGAACCCTAATTGTAAACAGCCATCATATGTAACTACATTGTAAATGTAGTCTGCTGGGATTATTGCTATCTGATTGGAAGATGACTGTTTTCTAGGCAGATAATTCAATGAATAAATAAGTCACATATTTGGCTTCATGTTCGAGTAATTGCTGCAAAACTTTATTGGCCTAATTTGTCTCTATCAATGTTTGTAATGACTAGAAGACTGAGATCAAGATGAATTTTGGATGGTCTTTACTGGACAAAATTCTCTTACTTGACAGCGTTTCCACATAATTGATAACTAAATTATTTTTACTAAAAATTTCAATATGAAAAAGAAAAACATTAGTGCATTTAATATATAAAATCTAAATGTAAAATCTTAAATTGTGTTTGTAGTTTTGTTTAAGGCATTATAATTAATGTGTAAGTATATTTGTGAAAATGTTTCTTGATGTATGATATTTTAGGCGCCAATTCAATTTATGGCTGTAAAGAGGTCTAAATGGTAGTGTAAAGAATGCTTTGGCAGTCGGTACTTACCGTAGTTTTCTTGCTGATCCTGATACTCTTTAAAATGAGGTTTGCAAGCAGGATAAAAAATGAATGTGTGTGTTTGTGCCTGATAAAAGTATTTCAAGGGTAACTGATGATAGTTTAAGTCACTGAGATAGTCAACAAGAAGATAATCAACTTTGTAAATGATATTCAGTATTTATCTGGTTCTGTTGTGCAGGGTCTCAAAAATGTCTACTGCATTCCAACATGAATTTTCAAGTTCTTTTTAAAATGCAAATTGTAGAAAAGATGTAGTACTGTTTTCATGTAAACATCTAACATACCACCTCCTCCTTAAAAACTGTTTAGTAGTCCACTAAAAGGTTAAAACCTCACCTTTTTATTACACCTGTTGATTCAGAGACAGGAAGTGAGGGGAAACCTCCCTAATGGAATCACAGACAGAAATAAAAACTCTATTCAGGTTCTATGCCTTCCCCACTCTGTCCAAAACAAACAACATTTTGGCTGGCCTTTACCTGTGGACTGTTGTAGACCAACACAGCACTTCTATTTGAATGGATGCATAATTAATGGATATATATTTAAAAAAATTTCACCATGACATCAATGTAATAAATCAGCTCCAGTTGCAAAATGTAATACTATATCTCCACAATATTATTGTTCACCATATCGTAGCTACAATATATTAAAGAAATATGGTATGCAGTACCAATCCAATGGCATTTGACTAGATGTCTTGGCTGTAATAATTCCATAGTGTTATGTGTATACAAATTTATAACACCCATGCAAAAAAAACTAAAAAATGTCTGCCATATTTTCATTTATTCTATTTATACACTATATTGCCAAAAGTATTGGGACATCCCTTCAAATCATTGGATTCAGGTGTTCCAATCACCTCCATGGCCACAGGTGTATAAAATCAAGCACCTAGGCATGCAGCCTGCCTCTACAAACATTTGTGAAAGAATGGGTCGCTTTCAGGAGTTCAGTGAATTCAAGCATGGTACCGTGATAGGTTGCCGCCTGTGCAATAAGTCCATCTGTGAAATTTCCTTGCTACTAAATATTCCACGGTCAACTGTTAGTGGTATTGTAACAAAGTGGAAGCAACTGGGGAAAAACAGCAACTCATCCACAAAGCAGTAGGCCACATAAAATGACAGAGGGTGGTCAGCGCATGCTGAAGCGCACAGTGCGCAGAAGTCGCAACCTGTCTGCAGAGTCAATAGCTAAAGACCTCCAAACTTTATGTGGCCTTTAGATTAGCACAACAACAGTGTGTAGAGTGCTTCATGGAATGGGTTTCATGGCCAAGTAGCTGCATCTAAGCCTTACATCAACAAGTGTAAAACACGCCACCACTGGACTCTAGAGTGGTGGACATGTGATCTCTGGAGTGACAAATCACACTTCTCTGTCTGGCAATCCAATGGATGTGTCTGGGTTTGGTATTTGCCAGAAAGGTACTTGCTTGACTGCATTGTGCCAAGTGTAAAGTTTGGTGGAGGAGGAATTATAGTGTGGGACTGTTTTTCAGGAGTTGGGCTGGGCTGGGCCCCTTAGTTCCAGTGAAGGGAACTCTTAAGATGTCGGCATGCCAAGACATTTGGGACAATTTCATGCTCCCAACTTTCTTGGAACAGTTTGGGGATGGCCCCTTTCTATTTCAACATGACTGAGCTCCAGTGCACAAAGCAAGGTCCATAAAGACATGGATGGGCGAGTTTAGGGTGGAGGAGCTTGACTGGCCTGCACAGAGTCCTGACCTCAACCCGATAGAACACCTTTGGGATGAATCAGGCCTTCTCGTCCGGCATCAGTGCCTGACCTCACAAAATTTGCTTCTGGAAGAATGGTCAAACATTCCCATAGACACACTCCTAAACCTTGTGGACAGCCTTCCCAGAAGAGTTGAAGCTGTTATAGTTGCAAAGGGTAGGCCAACTCAGTATTGAACCCTACGGACTAAGACTGGGATGCTATTAAAGTTAATGTGCTATTAAAGTTCATGTGCATGTAAAGGCAGGTGTTCCAATACTTTTGGCAATATAGTGTATGTGAACATATAATGTAAAAGAAGGTAAAAAATTAAGAGCTGCGCTTTACCAACATCAAAACATATAACCATGACAATCATCTTGGATGTGATGAATTACGTAGGGGCAGGAACTTCTGGTTCATGGCCCCCTTCTGCAATTTGGAACACGTGCCAACTCCCATGCTGGCTGGAGCAGTGCAGATCCATTACATATATTGACAGAGGATTCCAGTGTTCCAGGTTCGGCACCGTACCATGTGAATGTGACTTTTTCTTTTGATTTTAAACATTTAAATGAACAATACTATACTATAGAGATGTTTTCTGCTTAATTCCTTCTACATATGGACAAGATTTATTGAGCTATATCTGAAACATTGCTATGCACAGTGGGGCTGTAGAAAAGCACATTTAGCCTACCTTGGTATGCACTTAGGGGGTCAACATCTTCTGGTTATTTCGGTCCTATAGGAGCAGGGGACATGGTGCACTGTGTTATGATTGTTGTGATGAAAGTACACAGACGGTGGTTGCACTTTATTTCTTTTTTGGTTGAAGAAGACAGTCACTATAAGAACTGAGACACATTTTTTTCCTATGCACTGGCACTCTAAAAGAGACTTATAATATTATATCACTTTTTTGTATTGGGATTTAGATTTTATATATACAGTGTTTTAGCACGATGTCACAGTTCTATGCTTTGATGTTGGTAAGGTGCAGCTCTTAATTTGTTACCTTCTTTTGCACGTTGTGGGAACTAGCACCAAGGGTAGTGCTTTTGAAGCACACAGTCACTCACTACCTTCTTTTTAAAGGACTTTTTTGCTCAATTTTATTTAAAAGAAAGTTCCATACAACATAGGTTTCCCATGCAGGGGTATCCACCATCAATGCAAATGAAAACAAATATTCAGCCTCCTGGCTCTCTTTAGCAGCACCGCAGCTCAGGTTTCATGCCTCGGTCCTCTTGATCATTCATGACACGCTGCACCTGGGTTAGAGCCCTTTCCCAGCACTCCTGTTTCTCCAGCCCACAGGCTTGGGCCCTGTCTGCTCTGTCAGACTTCTCTGTGCCACCATGCACACTTGTGGCTGCTTCCTTGCACCCACATGGACTCCTTGGGAGGGTGGAGCCCAGAACCCTGGTCCTGACTCTAGAAGAGAGCCACACACACCTGACCAATCAGTTTCCTGGCCATTCCAAAAATCTGGTCCCAGGATTGGAGATTTCATCCCTCCCAAATCACTTTGAAATCTCCAGGCTCCTCCCAAAATGGACTTTACCAACAAATGAGGAAAGTGAAAAGCCAGTTTCCTCTGCATCAAACAAGTACCCTGGAACCCCTCAACCTGCCAAGTTGAGAATCCCGGGTGAACTATTCTTTTTACAATTGTGACAGATTGCCACACTGTCACAACGTATACAATAGCGCTGCAAGTTCCAACTACATCAATCACCGGAAGGTTTTAATTCAAATATACTGCACAAACGCTTACATGACTTAAGGCCTAATTTTCAGTTTTGTACAGAAAGCTGCATCTTGATTTCATGCAAACCAATGCAGTACAGACTTCATCTATAGATGCACATTAACTAAACCTTAATTTACACCATATTATTACTGAGTGAGTGCATATATGACTTGCACAATAAAATACCAGACAAGATCTGTTTTGACTTTAGTCAAATTGGTGCATTACCAGCTTAACAACTGAACATCAAGTTCCAGCATACGTTGTATAAATAGCACCACTGCTTGCCAACATTCATAGCCATAATTGTGGTTAGCCTTGTTAGATAGGCTTGCTCAGACACTTGAAGACTGATTACATGGAATGTTTCCAAAAATCTACAAAGAGTAGAGGGCAATTATGATTGAATAGAAGAGTATCATATACATATCCACAATATAAAATCTTGAAGTCCCACATCTTTTGGTAGTAATGGTGTTCTTAACCTGGTGGGTGTAATTTGTGGTCCATTCAGGAAAATAATTAGAAACACTGATATGGCAAACACTGGGCTCACCACACATACCGCAAGTATCTGATTATCTACTGATGAAGAATGAAAACTATAAATCAACAAATGACCATATGATCTACTACAAATTTTTGTGGTAATGGAATGCTGAGATGTTTTCGACACCATGCTTGTTTTCTGCTTATGATCATTTGCATTATACATATGACATGTTGATGCTTTGACAAATACAATTGTACAGCACACCATATACAGCAGCAATATACTGTATATTGGTCATACCTGGATACATAGTCTCAAAAGAAAAACATAAAGAGAATTTTTACATGAAAGGCAAAAATATAATGAAGTAAAGGGCATACATGCCTGTTGTGTACATATGTGTAGAGAGTAGTAAAGTATAAAGCCATACTGCCAAGTATAAAGCCATACATCCAGGTTATGTTTAAAACTGAAGTTCAGGAATTATTTTTATTTCATACTAACATTGGCACAATACATGTATTCATATCTCACACCTGATGGGCAGCAGGGGAAGCTGAAAATCACTGTGGTAGTCGGAGCTACTACGGTGATAGCTGTAAATCTTCAGAGACCTGCTTTGGTTCTGAGTGAGTGGCTTCACCTCTACACACTGACCACACTCTCTTGGTACACCTTTTATTTATTCAATGGATAGAAAGGGTTCTTTGATTGGACGAGGTGGAAAAGAGGGGTGGTGACATCACAATCCCCACCTTGAAACAATCAGAGAATGCCTTGTATTCAATATAAAAATACCAGGCTTTCTACGAATTTGTTCAGCAGTGCTGCACAAGTGATCCCCTTGCCCAGAACCCTTGCAGGACCTCAGAAGATTTAGGCTATCAGTGTAGCAGCGCCAACTACTACAGTGATGTTCAGATTCCCCCAGTGGTCCATCAGGTATAAGAAATGCATATTTACATTGTGCCAAGGTGGACAAATGAAAGCATGCAATAAAGAATAATCCTGGAGCTAAGCCTTAATGTGAAATCAGGTTTAGTAATGCCAAACTATAAAAATGAGTTAAGCCAGAAGGGGATAGTTGTTTTCTTTGCAGAGCTGTAAAACTTTGGAGACAAGTTAGCATTCAGCTATCATATTTTCTCTGCAACCTCCATTTTGGTGGAGTTTTGCACATAAAGCAAGTAGCATATTTTTTCCAATACCAGATCCTGGTACTAATTCTTTACAATGACGTAGGTGGGGACAAAAGAATTGGGCATTTTTCAGATTACATAATCATTTATTGGTTCCAGTAGGGAAAATGAATACTAAATTCAGCCCTCATTGCAATGAATTTGTTTTGACTCCAAGTTTGATTGTCAAGCAACCCCAATGTATTTTAGAGATCTTGACTTGCAATTTTGCTAAAAACTCTCTGTCTTGTTCATGGACCTCAATTATAGTGTTACTGTATAAACAGAAGTGATGATTTGATTTTATGAGCACAGTATAATTTTTAAAAAGGTCGCTAAAAACAAGTTTGCAATGTAGTACACACTCAACATAGGTGCAATCGATCTCTATTTACAAAAATAAAAAATTTCCTTTTGGCAGAGCAGGGAATAAGTTATAAAATAGTTATGACATTTCTGACATTCTTTGTGTACATCATTTTTTAGGTTGTGAAAACCAAGAAAGGAAAGAAAATGAAATTATTAAAAAGTTATACACTTGGCGGCAAAAGCTTTCCACGAGTCCCAGACATTCCATCAAATTTGAAATCCCCATATCATGTTCAGGGTCCAGTGAATCAGGTCTATTCTGAAATCCTTCTCAGCAGACTATGTACATGAAAATGGAAGATGACAATCATGCATGGAGAGCCCTGACAGCTCAGCCAGATATGTCCCTCCGGTGCTGTGAGTAGTTTGGACACTTAACAAGCTTCCCTAATTGGCTGCGGACAGTCAAGAAAAGATATGTAAAAGTTCTCTGGACTTTATGGATTCAAGACACCCCGAAATAGATATGTAGTTTCATACTTGAGGACAGAGAAACAGGAGGGGCCTTTAAGTGCTGCCAAGTTTTGGAAATGTACGATGAACTCAAACCATTCAGATATAAAGTATAGTTGGTTTGCGTTTTTTATGTAATTATTGTGTAAAATATAAGATGTTTATAACAGATGTGTGTACAGAACCTTGTTAGTAGGAAGAATTGTTACACTTTATACAGAATGTTAAATGAATGTATAAGAATCTATTTTCTTATGTTCACAGGGTAGTTCCAAATATACACTGTATTACCAAAAGTATTGGGATACCTGCCTTTACATGCAAATGAACTTTAATGGAATCCCAGTCTTCGTAGGGTTCAATATTGAGTTGGCCCACCCTTTGCAGCTATAACAGCTTCAACTCCTCTGGGAAGGCTGTCCACAAGGTTTAGGAGTGTGTCTATGGGAATGTTTGACCATTCTTCCAGAAGTACATTTGTGAGGCCAGGCACTGATGTCAGATGAGAAGGCCTGGCACGCAGTCTCTGCTTTTATTCATCCCAAAAATGTTCTATCGGGTTGAGGTCAGGACTCTGTGTAGGCCAGTCAAGTTCCTCCACCCCAAACTCGCTCATCCATGTCTTTATGGTCCTTGCTTTGTGCATTGGTGTGCAGTCATGTTAGAACAGGAAGGGGCCATTCCCAAACTGTTCCCACAAAGTTGGGAGCATGGAATTGTCTTAAAATGTCTTGGTATACTGATGCCTTAGGAGTTCCCTTCACTGGAACTAAGGGGTCAAGCTTAAACTCTGAAAAATAACTCCACTCCATAATCCCCCCTCCACCAAACTGTACACTTGGCATAATGCAGTCAGGCAAGTACCATTCTCCTGGCAACCTCCAAACACAGACATGTCCATCGAATTGCCAGACAAAGAAGCATGATTTATCACTCCAGAGAACACGTCTCCACTGCTCTAGAGTCCAGTGGTGGCGTGCTTTACACCACTGCATCCAATGCTTTGCATTGCAATTGGTGATGTAAGGTTTGGATGTAGCTGCTCGGCCATGGAAACCCATTCTATGAAGCTCCCTAAGCACTGTTGTGCTAATCTGAAGGCCACACGAAATTTGGAGGTCTTTAGCTATTGACCCTGCAGATAGTTGGCGTCTTCTGCACACTGTGCTCTTGCGTTGACTCTGCTCTGTCATTTTATGTGGCCTACCACTTCTTGGCTAAGTTGCTGTTGTTCCCAGTTACTTCCATTTTGTTATAATACCACTAAAAGTTGACAATGGAATATTTAATAGCAATTAATTTCACGATGGACTTATTGCACATGTGGCAACCTATCACGGTACCACGCTTGAATTCACTGAGCTCCTTAGAGTGACTCATTATTTTACAAATGTTTGTAGAAGCAGTCTGCATGCCTAGGTGCTTGCATTTATACACCTGTGGTCATGGAGGTGATTGAAACACTTGAATCCAATGATTGGAGGGGTGTCCCAATACTTTTGGCAATATAGTGTCGATGCAGCATATAAATAGGCTTATGTATGTACAATATGTTAATATGGTACCTGCAGCTCTAACAGTGTGCAACATTTCAGGTTTTTTTTTTTCACTTTAACCAATCAATAAGTGGGGAATGACCAACTATTTTTTTTTCATTCCTGATTTTACATAAGCTAATTATTATGGAAATAATTCAAGCTATTTAAAGACATTAGGGCTGATTTACTAAAAGCAAATTGGTTGTTCAGTTTGCAAATTTAGTGAATGAGGTGAGGTTCTGCTGACTTCCATCATCTGGTCATGTGCAAGAAAAAATGCTTTGTTTTAATTTATTTTCCATGGGTGTTCTTTGCAAAGTCAATTTTCACTAAGACAAGGGAAATTTCCCTTGCAAAGTGAACAGCCTATTTGATGTAAGCAAATCAACCCAATTTTGTTATTGTCAGTTCGTTTGATAGTGATGGAGCAGTGGTGTAGTACAAGCTACAGTAGCCAGTTTAGCTTCTCCAAGATTCACAGATAGGTACTGAGAGCCCAGCTGCATTGACACTCTCTGAAGGATGTGTCGTCCCATATGGGCATTGACCTCTCTTGGAAGCTTTTTGAGTCGGGGGGTCCATGTGGATCTATAGCTACATAGTACATTTATAAAGGTTTTCAAGCTAATACACAACCATATTTTTATTTAAGCAGTTGTGTGTAAGAAAAGGTGTGACATGTTCTTGCACACAACAATTTCAACACTTAAAATGTAAGTTCTCCTTTTCACAAAAAAAATTGAAAAAGTGGACTGACACACCAGACCCTTCCCACCCCCTGGTCTCTGCTGTACTTACCACCAGGGATTAGGGGGGCAGGGTGCAGTGTGTTAGTTCAACTTTTCATTTTTTGTGAAAAGGTGAATTAACATTTTAAGGTAAGTATTAGCCTTAAAGTTTAAGCAATTGTTAGTTTAATTTTTTGAGTCCATGTATAGTTAGGAGTTAATTTTATAGTTAGGTTAGGAGGCTCCATAACAGGAATTTTCTGAACAATGACCTTTATGGCAGGATCACAAAGTATTATCTTAATAAAAACTGCAGATTTATGTAAAAATGAAAACTACTTGAAAAATTAGATTAGCATGTTGAAACCTATATGAGATTTTATTGACTTGGTTTAGGTCCAGTTTATGGATTAAAGAATATGTAAACCATCACCTTGTAAAACAATCTATCCAGTTTAAAATCCAAAATAAGAAGAAATAAATTTGCATATAGATATAAAAACATAAATACATTTTTTTCTATAAGTGATCATACCCTCTGTTCTCACCCGCATAAGAGCTGAGGGAGGAGAAACAGCAGAATACTGATCTTCCCAGTGAAAGGCTGAGCAAGGGGTGTGTGTCAGGACAACAAACAGACTATTGCATAGTCTGCTTGAAAGAGTATATACCAGTGTGCAGAGGGTCCTCAGAATTTCTTGTGTCAGGACAAGTCTGATCATTGGAGGAGAGCAGGCTCAGGCCTTTAAATAGCTAGAGAACTTGCCACGCTGTGCTCTCATGTTTAGCGTAGTCAGTTTGTATTAGGAAAGGAGAGGGACTGGCAGAATGACCAATGAGTTTACACAGAGGAAGCAATACAAAGAGAACAGGATACTTTCACATACGAGTACATTATACAGCAGGCACATATCAGGAATATGAAATGTTGGGTTGATGTACTTCTTAAACCTGGCCGTGCACAATTTGATCATATATGTCTGCGCAATCTCCTTTAGACTTACCAAAACTATGTTATATAAGGACAAACCTAACAAATTTATCGCAATGTATTAAAACAGGCATGCCCTTTCACTACATAGTTGATGATATATCTACTGTAGAGTGTACAATCAGATTATATAGTGTTAATGTAGTCCTGCCTAAGATAAATAAGTAGATTCCCATTGCTGATATGGTTCTGAAAATGCTAGTTGACATATTGTCATGCTGACCCACTGGCTTTATTACTTCTGGATCAAGTATGTAGCTTAGAACAGTTGAAGTCTTTATCGGCGTACTTGATGTGGGTTGGTGTCATATTGAACCCAGGGAGTCAGCATGATAGCCAGGCAAATAACATTTGCAGAATGAGAAGTCTGGATTGGCACCCTCCTTGTTTCTCTCAGGAAATGTTTCCTTTATGGTACTTTAAGGGGTTTTTGCATATGTTGCACCCTCCTAGTGCAGCTAGGGGGAGCTAGATCCTAATGGTTAGACAGGAGCTTGTTAGCTGCTCAGGTGTAATAGCCAAAAGGGTCAAATTGTGGTCAGGACTGAGAGACTCTGCAGGCCAGTCCCTCTGGAATTTCCCCCTGCTCTGAGGCTTTTGGAGGAGGGCCTTGGAGGAGTGGGTGGATCTGAGAAGTGACTGGCTGCACTCTTGAGGGACCTCAGCCAATCCCCAACAGAAGGCTTGGCAAGGGGCTGGGAATCCCTTAAAAGTATAAAAGCCTGCTCAGTAACAGGAGTGTGAGGAATGGGGTGAAAGAAGGAGTAGGAAGATGTAAGGCTAGAGGAGAAAGGCTGCCAGGAGGCCTAGTGAGATGGGGCCTGCCTGCAAGCATAGAGCTGGAAAGGAGGAAAACTTGGGACTCACTGGCCCACTGAGTGAGGACCAACTGTATGGCAGGGAAGGAGCAGTTCAGATGATAGGACTGGTAGCAGCAGCCAACCCGCAAGCAGTATGGGAAAAGATTTGAGTGAGTAAAACTGCGCCCCCTGGGCGGATAGGAGAAGGAGCACTCTGGTGGGAAAACAGATTAGCTCCCTGCTGGTGACTGTCCACCTTGTTCAAAGGAACAGGAGCCAGATCCCCTACTCAGGGAGAAAGTCTCCAGATTGCTGGGTGAAGAGGAGTTCATCTAGGGTCTGGGATGGCACAACTAGGAGATACTGGCTAGCACTCCAACAGAGACTGCATCAGAGAAGAGAAGCTTGTGAATAGTTCAGGAAGTTATCCTCAGATATTGGTTTCCTTGGGCATCCTATACCCCCTTACCCTTTTCAAGTTCTAATCCCCTCAATAAATATCAAAACCAAAGCTCAAGAACTTGTTTCTGTCTCCGAAAGCAAGGTTGTCTGGAAAATGCTGTATGACTGGTCGTGCAGGACTATAGGGGGATCCAAATTCATCAGCAAATCCCTAAGGGAGTAGTGCTACATAGAAAAAAAATCATAGTGTGGATGTCTTAGGGCCCATTCACACCAGGTGCATGTGCACTGCAGGCAATCATTTTTTTTCAGTGCGATGGCCAGTTGAACCTAATGAAATGTTTGTGTGACATTTCAATAAAGTTTGTTAAAAAAAAAGTGAACAGTGCAATGTGGCACAGCAGGAATTCTGCTGGACCGCACTACACACCAGTACCTGCGGTATAATAAAGCTGCTGGTGTGAGTTAGCCCTTAAGCATTCACAGAGGCGCCAGATATGATTATCTCCTATGATCGTCAGCTCCATCTAGTTGCCGTAATGCAGTTATTTTTAATTGAGGTATATCAGATGTGCAGATTTTATTTTTTACGCTATAAAAAAAAATTACGACAATTTTGAGAAAAAAACATTTTTTACTTTTTGTTATTAAACATGTCCAGTAAAAAATTTTAAAATCAAATTTCGTCATAAATTTAGCCCAAAATGTCTTTACTAAAAACAATTCCAAATTCGTGTAAATTAATTGGTTTATATGAAAGTTATAGTCTTTACAAATGGCGGTATATATACTGGGATTTGTTTTTTTTTAACTAGTAATAGCGGCGATCAGCGACTTATAGTGGGACTGTGGGACTGCAGCGGGCATTCAGATACTGGGGTGAACTGACTTGGTGTTACTGACATCCCCAGTGACACCAATACAGTGATCAGTGCTAAAAAAAAAAAGCACTGACACTGTACTAATGGCACTAGGCAGAAAGGGGTTAACATGAGGGGTGATCAAAGGGTTAACTGTGTGCTGGAAGTGTTTTACTAGGGGGCTGTGTCAGTGTGCTTCACTGTAATCACACTGACTGACAGTGCTTCACTGTAATCACACTGCTTTGGATCCATCCAAAGCAGTGCGCCGAGATGATAGGGAGGAGAACTGTTAGTAAACAAAACAGTTCTCCTCCCCGTCGGAGATCCTTGGAAATCACCAGGCGCCAGCGAGTAATCACTGCCTGGGACCCGATGATTGACAGTTGCGGCCGCAAATGGTGCTGAAGGTAGGGCGCACGCTCTCGGCTCGTGAGCGCCCCCTACCCAAAAATGCAAAATCACGTATATATATATGTGATTTTGTGCACCCGTGCCGCCCTGTAGCAGTATTTCTGCTATAGGGTGGTGCATAAGTGGTTAATATCCTGGAGACAATAACCATCAGAAATACTAGAGAGGATGGATCTCACCAGTGGGGACATAGCAATAAAACTGCCATCTCAACACTTCCCTCTCTATCTAAAATTAAAAAAAAAAACTTTTGGCTTTACATATGCTTTAAAGTGTTACTAAACCCACAACAGTAAAATCAGTCTGCCATTTTAAGGGGGGTTGGTTGGGGTGTGGCTCCACAACCATAAGAACAAACAAGCCTTTACTGAGTTACCTTTACACACATTTTACTGCCTGGTTGAGTAAAGCATTGGTGACGTAGCCCTGGCCTCACAGCTGCCCCCTGGGAAGGTTACGTCCCTGATACATTTCCGGGAAAGGTCATCTGTATGTTGCGAGCTCTCACAAGATTTTGTGAAATCTCACAACATCTCAGGAAAAAGTTTTTTTTCCCCTCAGATCACTTTACACATACTATGTCACCTGTGAGTGTGCCATCAGATAAGGAGTTGGGAAGACTATTCCAGGAAGTAAAGGGAGACAGCGTCCTCTGTCTTTATTAACAATGGCCGCTGGCA